TATCTTATCGTGGGTTCACGATGAGTGAGTTAATTACGAGTTAGTGTAGGTACGATTCGCTTAACGGGAAGCTAGCTAGCTTTGTCCTCCACTATTTATCAGCCACACACGCCGATATTCTTCTACCGGTGACGTTAGGTAATGTTTTCGTAAAAATACTAATGTCCGATGATAATCCACTGAAGTTAAACGATTTGTAATGTTCGAACTTTGTAAAGGTTCCTGGTCAAATATCTAAAGTTTTCCGATTGGTAAGCGTTATAACAATCACAGTTATAGCTTCCGAAGTTTTATAGCACACTGATTATAGCGAACTAATAATAGATACTCTCTTTTTCGGCGCGTCGCGTTGGTTATATTTATAGGCGTGTGGAGGCGTTTTAGAAATTTCAGTTTTACGTAACAATACAAATTTAAGCGTTTAAGTACACACATATTGTTGATTCTTACTCTCGAGAATCTTCTACAACTTTGTAGAATAGGCGGGAGTTTCGCAAGACATGTTTAACTCTATAGGCTATGTATGTTTCTAAATATAGATTTAATCTAAACAAACGTTGATATTAAAATAAATGTATAATAACAAATTCCTTACACGTATTCAACACAATCCATACATAGATTATTTATCGCAATAACTATTCCAACTCATACCAATTTCTACTAGTATCTGTGTCGTACCTTGGAATGGGCTTGCACCACCCCAGAGAGTGAAAACGAACACAGGCCCACCAAAAAGAAGCTTTTGTGAGATAGCCATTGTAACATATACTTAAACAAAAGGATGATAATCTCATGTTTACGATTGTTTGACATGCGGTTTACAGAGATTTCATAACTACATGCAGAGCACTGAAACGAACATATAATTATGGAAGGATGAAATTAACAGGTGTTTCAACAGTGATACTTGTACAAGCTGGTAAGAAATGGGGGTTCTCAGCCTTGAAAGTGCAGTATTACAGAGTTCTTGCTGCTGTTTTTGTCCTGTGTGAACTTATTTGGAAAGGCTTCTTCTACACCAGCAACCAGTAAGAAGTCACAACGAAAACATTAGCCAAACAGTTTGATATCAGACGAACACATACTTTTGAATGAATATTTTGTTTTGTTTATTCGCTTGTGTCATATGTCCTCCTTTGCTGTTTGTTTTAGTTATAAGTCTCTGCATAACATTTCCGGAACAAACTTGTCCAACTAGAAACAGTTCGTATGTTGAAAGGTGACACTATTGATGAGGACGTATGTGAAATACAACTCCTTTATCCAAGTGGCTGAGTCCCACCCTTCAATAACTTTTAAGTGGGCTCTCTGATCTCAGAAGATGCAATTTCTTTAGAAAAAAATAAAACACCTTAGCTATCTCTTAGAAATCACATATTGTACTCAACTTTGAGAAATGCCTTCTATGTCTAAATTAATCACTCCAGAACAGACTTGACAGACGGTTTATGAACCTCTCAAGGGAGTGGGAGTAACTGTTTTAAATTGCCCTCGCTCATGTCTCAAATCTTATTTCACATTATCATTCATTATCCAGTTATTGGCCCGGCATGGCCAGGTGGTTAGGGAGCTCAACTTGTAATCTGAGGGTCGCGGGTTCAAATCCCTGTCCCACCAAACATGCTCGCCCTTTCAGCTGTGGGGGCGTTATAATGTGACGGTCAATCCCACTATTCTTTGGTAAAAGAGTAGCCCAAAAGTTGGCGGTGGGTGGTGATGACTAGCTGCCTTCCCTCTAGTCTTACACCCCTAAATTAGGGACGGCTAGAGCAGATAGCCCTCGTGTAGCTTTGCGCGAAATCCATAACAAACAAACAAACATATCCAGTTATTACACGTGATATGTGCATATAACTTAGCATTAATGTTCTATTTGTTTTCCTGTTGTGGAGAAAGCTTGAAAGAGATCTAATCTGTACCTGACTTTTTTAGGTTCAGTAAGATCTGGTTATAGCCTGACTTTAACCTTGAAAACTTCATCAACCTCAAATTCAACATTAAAGAGGTTTAATAATACTTTATAAGGATGCCTTACATTTCCTAATGCAATGCCGTGTTGCATATTTGGTTCATAGTGAACTTCCGGCTATTAAAAGCTCAATGCTTTTAGAATTGTTTGATAACTTGAAGAAAATGTCACAGTCTTTTCCAAGAAAAGTTTTCATATAGCGAGATTGTTAAAGAACGTGGAACTTAAGGAAGTCTTCTATACTCTCACAGCTGAGCGTTTTGGACGTCAGTGGACTATGAAACCGTACCTTAAAACAATGCCCTCATAAACCAAAAAAGAATTAACCAATTCATAAATCTACAGCAACGAAACTGGGTATATCTTCTAGTGCCGTTAACAATATAATTAACAATACTTGTGAGTTGATGAATGCTTCCTAGCTAAAGTTTTAAACTTCCAGCTTCATCTCATAACTAATGTCCGTATTCACGAGAAATATTATTGGAGAAATCCAATTTGATGATGTATCTGTCAAGCCCCCAGATTCAGCTCCAATGGGCTTTCGTGCCTTTCGTCTATTTGAAAGTCGATGTTCACATATAGTGGAGAGTCTAAGGGAAATTTGTCAACATGTATGGTCATACACTGGCCTCGCTGTACTTCGCAGAGGCTTGTTAGAGTGCCTAGTAATATTGAGTAATCATGGCCATGACACTGAGCATAGTCAGTTAAGTGGTTTCAGGGTCAGTATAAAAAAAAAGACTAAAGAGGCATGTAAGCTCCGAGTATAGTCCTCTCATGTGTATGCTTTGAGTTTGTATTTTTATTACATTTTCCTTTGGTGATATTGATGACGTTTAGTGAACTTTGACGATGTTAATTCACAAAAATTCACTCTTCACGTGGTTTGGTCAACACATACGATTATGACCTCATACCATTGTATCATGTTATACATGCTTTGTTAAAAGTATTTGTAAACATATAACCCATATTATTACTTTGCTTACACTGTAAATTTAAAAAAATTAAAAGAGATAGTGTGAATTATGGTTAAGATTTTCGTACCTGTAATAGCGATCTTATTTCGAAGTGGGCAAATGTTGACTCAGTGGCCATAAGTATATGTGTTGAAGGAGGATAGCTATCCCCAACGTTCTTCTCTAATAAATAGCTATAGTTTATGACGAGTTGCATATTGTCTTATGTAATAAGATTATATTGTCTTATGAGGTGAAATGTTTGCACATATTTAGAGAACAGGCGGTATTTGAATCCCGAAGTGAGACAAAAAAAAAAGTCTTAAAATAGCGACACCAGACCAAGTGAAAGTTCGTAAAGAAGTAGTGATCATTTGAAATGGTGGACTTTTAGTGTCATAAAATATGTAAAGCAGATTTATGTGTCAATATATTTATTTTTTTCTCTTAACAAAACCAAAAATGTTTTATTATCACTCAGGAAATATATATACACGTACACACTTTCTTGGGTTTTGTCCTTTTGTGGTAATTATTTTATTTGAACTTCAATCTTGAAATTTTATTTTTAACTGCAACTTTACTACTGGAAGTTTTACCTCTAATTCCGTATCATTACTATACTCATCAGGAGACTGCAACTGATAGAGTTCTAAAAAAATTGGTAATATCCCCTAGATTAACTTAATTACAATGGGAAAGGCATTTATAAGTGTATATGTATTTAAATAAAATGAAACTTATTGCTGGGTAAGTTCTTATTTTGCTAATATAAAACTATCTGTTTAATATAATGAAAAATATGACTTATTCTTTTTCTTCTTCTTTTGGTTACCTAGATTACAGGACAAGGTACATGCTCTACATATCAGTTGAGCTTCTAAACTGCTGACCTCCATCACTTCAATAGTCCTACACCTGACTTCTACGTAAGTATAGCAGTTCATTCATTGGTTCTTGTTATAATAAAAAACAAACTGCTGGGTTCAACAAGATTGTGGTTATAATAAACAATTTATGTCTTGAATTGTTTAGCTTGAAAAGCTGTGATACGATTCTTAAAAAACAAACAACCATAATTATCACCTACGTATTTCATGCCATGTAGCTTATGCATAATTTGTTGTGATCTAGACCTTTGGCGTGTTTTAATTTAAACCGAGTTAGCCGATCCCTGGGAAGACATGCTACTTGTTCTTCAGTTTATTTTATAGATGTTTGCATGGCTTTTATCTCTGTTATCGCGTGTCCTTTGATCTGTATTATTGCGTGAATTTTTATCTTTATTATTGCGTGGACTTTGATCTATTTTATTGCGTGGACCTTGATCTGTTTTATTGCACGGCCTTTGACCTGTATTATTGAGTGGCCTTTAATTAGTATTATTCTGAAACTTGTATGATATCCAAGTACGATATATTTTACTTTACCGTAACACATATTTCGACTTTGCAAATTTTAAATATTTTGTCTAGAGTTATAAATCAGAACATTCTAAATTCGGTCGAGGTTATGTGCCAGTTTAGCCCTGGTATTAATTTATGTAGCAGGGTCCGTTCGTAGAAAATATTCAACATTTTATGGGATAATTGCATCGTGTTCTGCTTTACCGTGTATTCATGGAACTACTTTACGGCTTTCACATGAAACGAAAATATTTCAAAATACTCCTGATCCAATTTTCTGACTGCTTCAGAGAAAAGGTGTAATGTAGAAGCGGTTTTAACACTTTTCAGCGATAGCCGTTCCTGTTTTTAGAGAGTCAAGACTTCTTGTAGAAATCCTGCCCTTGTGCTTAATCGTCATGAAGCTTAACCTGCTGATTGTGTGCTCTAGTATCATCAGAACTGATAATAGTCTTCAAATGTTCCTAATTAGTTTATCTCTTTGTCTTCAATTAATGAAGTGATTTTTTTCCGACTTCGCGCCTTGTCTTATCTTTTCCATTCCATCTGCACCAAATCACTTTACCTATCCTTTTATTTATTAGGTCCACGGATCTCCTGAATGAAAATATTAGGTAACTATGTGCTTGGTTTGTTCTTGGAATACATTCATTAACACATGTTGTTGGCATTTACCGTTACATTTAGTCGAACTTTGTCCAAAAGAAAAAACAATTTAGGAAATTTTGTTAAGAGAATTATGAGTTATTATTTTTAGAACCCTTTACGTACATTCATCAGTTGATTTGTAAGTGATATTAAACTCCTACCAGAAGCCACCCCCTTCTAATAGTATACTTTTGGAGACATTTTTAGAATTCTCTAACACTAAAACCAAAACGACTGGTTTGTGGGTGATATTCATCTTTTCTAGTAGACGTGTTAAAATTGTATGAGATCAGTTTTTGAAATTATATCTTTTTTTTATTAAATACGAAATAACATAACAATAAAAAATATTTACTTATAGTTTGGTGGGTCGAAAAAAGAATATTAAGCTACAAATAAAGAGAATTATAAGTCATTTCGAAAGACAGACCTCTGTTTGTTATATTTCTCGTAAAACTACTCGAATGATATCTGCGCTAGCCGTTCCTAATAGAGGTAAACACCAGTCACCACCAACCCTGGAGCTGTTCTTCAACAACGATTTGGATTTACCATCACTTCATAATGCCCCCACGGCTGAAAGGACGAGCATATCGGTGAAGAGGAGATTGTTTTTATTATCTGAACAGTTACTGCAATGTTTATAAACTGTAAAATCGTACAAGAAAATGATTTTAATTGAATGATCTAATGTAATTCAAAACTCGAAATTATCAAAAATCCAAATAATATTCTTTCAAATGTTCGTACTCTTTGTGGCTGTTTCTAAATTATACGCGTTAGATTTTGGTTCTAAGAAAAGAAACATATTACATTTTTATATCCACAGTAAGACAAAATTTAAATATCTAAAGAAATTGAAACAAAAAGATATACAAAACATACAGTTATTAAGAATTTTCTGTTTACTCAGCTTAACACAATCAAGTTTTCACCCTGAAATCAATCAATACTTATAAGAGGATCAAATCACTGTTTATAAAAAAACAAAATCTTAGTCTATAAGATTAAATCATCATTTACAATATAAAAATGTTTATTTATGAGTAGATCAAAGCGTCAAATATAAGAAGATAAGATCAATATTTATAGTATGATTGTTTTATTTTATCTTTTAACTTCGTAAAGAGTTTTTATGTTATAATGCCAAGCAGCGTTTGTATACAACGAACTGTTGTCAACCGGACTTATAACTAATCCTGAAATCTGACGGCACTGAAAACGACGACAGTTTTGTTGGCCTAAGCATACCAACCAACCACACCCCGCATTTACTGTGGAAAACACTCATGTGACTAAGAGTTAAAATGTGACCTGGCTTTGAAATCTGTTCAAGCACTTAAGCCTAAAGAGAAACAGACAGAGAAAAAAAAATATTTCATATTATCCTACGGATGCATTAATTACTATTAAGTGACGCTTTCGTATTAACATGCTAGCATCTTTACGTAATCTGTCTTAAAGCAGTTTAAGCCATAAAGATTTTTATGTTTGATTTTATATACTCTAAATGAAATTTGTTGATAAAGAACAAGTTAAAACAAATTAATTTTATGTACAACGACCCATGAGTTACTGTGCATAAAAGCTTTGACAGCAACATAACTTTTACCCATACATACAGTGACATGCTAATAAAACGTGATCTTTAATGGTTATTAGTAATTCATTTGTAATTCCACACGGGAGCGCTACACTGTTTGAAAAATAAAAGGCCGCGTTATCCTTAGTATTTATAGATAAATGCTTTTTGCTCTTGTTAAGCGCATAGCTACACAATGGGCTATCTGTACTTTGCCCACCGCGGGTGTTGAAAACCGATTTTCAGCGTTATAAGCCCTCAGACTTACTACTGAGCCATAAGAGATAATAATAAATGCAAAGGAAGAACATAATTCCTTCAGACATGATGATAAACAACGTTAAAAAAGGAGGGCTAGGTTCTTCTTTTATTTCTTTATTAAAAACATATATACTTTCAGCTGAAATGACAGTCTCAGCAGTTAATGTACGTATAGTGTAATTACGTTTATTGCACTTTTAATATTTTTAGGGCTAATCTAAGAACCCTGAAGCTGACTTTGTAAAATGTTTTTCTTGGACATTTTAAACTAGAAGTCTAGCGGAATGAACCATGTAAGTGTAAATGAGACGTCCCCCAGTAGGTCAGCGGTAAGTTTACAGACTTGCGAACCTAAAATCCAGAGTTCGATTCCCCGTGGTGAACTGATAGAGCGAACTGTGTAGCTTTTTGTAAATAAGCTAGAGTTTAATTTTTTTGTGATGTTTCAGTGCAACTCTCTTGGAGATTTCAGTAGACTTGAAGAGAATTGTAAAGGCTGCTGGGATATAAATCTTGATTCAAAAAGCAGATGTTGTTTTTTCATAAGTATCCCGCTCGCTTACGTCACAGACGCAGCCCTTTCCTTCTTCTAGCTCTATATTTTCTTTCTACCTCCCTAAAAAAATCAAATGTTTTATTACCAATAGAAATGTAAGTATATATATAAAACATTGCATGATAACGATTTGTAAAAAGTGATATATATAT